TAGTGTATAGCTTCATGCACAGAGGAGAGAGATGGAGAGAGGGAGAGGTGGACAAATACTCTCTCTCTCTCTCTCCCTTCTCTCTATCTCTCTCTCCTCTCTCTCTCTCTCTCTCCACTGGTTTTTGTGCTCCAGCACAAATGACGCTGCATATGAAATGTGGACCACCCCTGTGATCCCTTAGAGCATGCCCCTTAGGACAGCTTGTGATCCGCTCCTATGTCTCTTTTCCTTATTGAGTTTGTGCAATGCAAAATTTGTTTTTCTCTCCACAACGCTCGCTTTTGACTTGTTCAAATGTTAAAACAGCCGCACCCAATGTGAAAAGATTCATTGTTCTGCGGCATCATGCTATATATTTGCTCCCTCATGTAAAACCCCAATCGAAAGTCAACCCAATTAGTTGGGAAATGGTTTCGACGATGATGAGGCAAAACCTCAGTTGAAATTATTTTTAGCCCAAAATTGGGGATGTAATATTTGAATCTAGCGACCAACCTCAAAAAGAAAAATATATATTTTTTCTGAAGTATTGAACGACTAAAAATATATATTTTTTTAAAATGTTCATTTAGTGATTCTTTGGTGGATCCTGAAATCTTGTATCAAAAAAATTCTATGTAGTAGCTCTTTTGTTTGTGATAGTTATTTTACAATATACTCCCACGGGAGAACGCTATACACTCCACTATTGAATCTAGGGAAAGCTTTCTATGTTCCCTTTAGAACATAGAAGTTCTATCCTCCCCCAACCATCCAGCCCTGTATTTTTTATCAAGAGAGCCACTCCCCATTTGATCTTAGATCCGACGGCTCAAAGTATTTTATTTTTAGTTTTTTTTAATACAAATGTCCTGGATATGAAATTTGGTATGTGCCATCTTCACATTGGGGCGCACGTATAAAAAATATTAACAATTATTTTTCGATAAAAAAAAGATCAAAATACCCCTTAAAAATTTCAGGGGTATTTTGGTCTTTTTATTTTATTGAAAATATTTTTTTTATATTTTTCATTAGTGCAAGTTTAATAGAGTAATGGACATTCAAAATTCAATACCAAAATATTTTATAGAAAAAAATTAAAAATAAAATAATATAGAGACGTGGTATTGTGATTGGGACAATCTTAGCCCTCCATTCAAAAATGAATGGTTAGATAAGGGGGAGGATAGAACTTCTATAGGGGGGGCATAGAAAGTTTCCCTTGAATCTAAACCTTTTTGTTTTTTTTCTGTATGAAGTTTCTATAAGGCCTAGGCTTCATGAAAGCAAAATAATACCTCACCTCAAATCCTATCTTGCCGATCTTTGAACGTTTATTTTTAAGGCAAAATGGACCTAGATGACTTGTTACAACATATATAATTTTTAGAGCGTGAAATCCTTCGTTTTTTTTCATAACCATAATGTTCAAGCTGAGGTGATCGATATAAGGGTCTTCCAATGCTTGAGTTGTAATTTTTGATGAGTTATGAGGTGAGGCTTTATTTATTTTCATAGTGCTGCAGCTCTATCGATTCCGATCTTAGAGGAAGTTGCATCGACCAGTTATGATCCAGCCCCAGCAAAAATTGATTGGATTGGTAACCAAAGGGAAAGTATACCATACACAAGCAGGATACACTACATGGAAATCAACTTTAGTTTAAGAGACGATTCTATTAGCTGATCGGCCTAATAGAGAAGAACTGATCTGGATAGCGGAGAATGCTTGACCCTTTTTCCCCTGAAAATTTTTATACGATTTTTTTATTTTTTTATTTTTTTTTGAAGTATTTAGATGAGATTTACATGTGAATAAAATTTACGACTTACCAAACAATTATTTTTTCGTAACAAATAATTTACTAGCATGCAGCTCTAGCCATTCATTCTTTCACGTGCAATTTGAACTATCCAATCAATACTGCGCTGCAGATTGGTTGGCTCATATGACATTTTCAATAGGGGTAGTTTGCATAAGGTTGCAACCTTAAACAATCAAGGTATACCTCCAAATTTTTTCATAAGATAGCAATTTTGGCATTGAAAAATCTTAATGAGAATGGTGGATGGAGTCAAATTTCTCATTTCTCTATAAATTGGATAGAAACCCAATCTATAGAAAGTCATTTATATTTCTAATGGGATAAAAATTTCCTAAAACATAAAGATATAAGATAAAGAGACCTCGGGTCGGTCGCTATTGGGCTTTCCCTGTAAAAGAGAGTTCATGTGTTTGAGAAGAGTAACAAGTGTGATGAGAGAAAATGGGTGAGCATTGAGGTGTTGAAAATACACGTGAAAGCTTTGGGCTTTGATGAGCCTACACACACGAACAAAATCGGGCTGGAAAGATAACTTTTATACGCGGTAAGTGACACACTCTCTTTGTCTCTCTACAATTCTCTTTATATACAAGATTTCTCTCTCTAAGTAGTCATGGTGGCCTCCTCGCCATTCTCTATAATTGTTTGTCTGTAGACAAAGGCTCTCTCTAAACACTCACACTGCCCTTCTCTACCTCTCGTCACCCTTAGCGTTGAAAATGGGCCGATCGGCCAGACCCGATAAAACTAGGGCTTGGGCCACAAATAGTTTACCCCGGGCCAGGCCATGGTCCGGCTCTTATTTCTTTGTCTGTTTTCTTTTGTATTTCTTTAATTTTACCTAGCCCAGCCCCGTCTGGCCCAGTGCTGGCCCAGCCCGTTGGCAGCCTATATACATAGAACTTGAACCTTTTCCTCATTCTAATTGGTGTTTAAGAAGGACCTGGTACTAACTCTAATGGCAATGGAATTTTAACTACATTTTAATCTTAAACCTTATCACATGCTAATTATTTTCCGATAGAGAGAGAGTGTGTGCACGCGTGATTTAGGGAGATTACCCTCTTCCAAAGTCTGCAAGAGAGTCTATCCAAAACAATATGTTTACATGACCCAAATAAATTATTCTCTTGCCTCTAGTTACATAGTTATAGAAGCCAAAAACTTAACTTGCTCTTTCATAAACCCTTACCAATTTCAAATCCTAGCCCTTTCATCTATTTAATATTAGGAAAAGTATATAAAGAGACTATTTACGTTTATTTCATTAACCAAGTTCAAAGTCCAAAGAAATTTTCTCGAACTTTGAGACACACTCAAGCTATCAGATTTCACATCGGGTGGTTGTAAATAATTGTGACCTCCCTGTACAAAAGGTAAATGATCTAAACTTAGTAATTCTCTACAACTAAAAAAAGACACAAATATATATGAAGAAAACTACAAACCCAAAATGATCTCTAACCTAAAATTTAGAAAATCGTAAAATAAAAAAATAAAACCCTACTATGTACCAATTGCTACATGGATAAGAAAGGAAAGAAAATAAATAAATCATAAACCTAAAAAATGAAATCAAAGGTATGAGATATTTGAACCTATTTCAGGGTTGACAAGTGAGTCTATCCCAAACAATAAATTTTTCTCTTTCTTTCTATTTTTTTATGGAACAATAGTTACATAATTTATAAAGAAGCAACCCTAAAGCCTAAATTGTTCATGAAGAAAACTCTAATGAATATTAAATTTATGCCCTTCATCTATTTAATATTTAACTTCTAACTATGCCCCTAACTTCTTTACAATTAAAAACGACACAAATACCCCTAAAAAAAATTAAAAAATTAAAAAAATCTCAAACCTAAAATCTAGAAAATAGTAATACGATATTCTCGATACTTGTATGGTATTTACTTACGGGTGTAGCTTGTATAAAGCTGAGGCCCTAAACATTCAAAGTAAAGCGTACTTTCAAATACTACCGGAATATGTTGTTTCAGTATCAGAAATCTTTATGATCGAAAATTTGTTTTTCTATAATTATAAAATTTAAATATTAAAAAATAGTGTTGATCGAGCAAATCTATGAACACTTGAAAAACTAGAAAATTGGTAGTCTAGATAATACATTACAAATGTACTATTTCCGATACTTAAAATTTAGTTTTTTTCATATCCATAAATATTGAGGTTGAGATGACCGAATTGAAGGTTTTACACCATTGAAACAATCTCTTCTTGCGAATTTTTTAGCCGCACTTTAATTTGATTTTTGTTTAGGGCCTCGCCCTTTTACAAACTTTTTCCTTTTATTATTAGTAGAAGAGCTGCCCGTGAATTTAAGGAACTATTTTACATAGATGTCTGTGTGATACTCTTTTGCACAATTTTTTTTTTCATTTTGCTTCAAATTGGTTTTTATTCTCTACAAACCTTATAGTGGTTGATGGCTTAGCCAATGGGAAGAATACCTTTTGAGCAACAGAAACCATCGAGCGTTGAGCTTAAATTTGGAAAGGTCTTTCAGGAAGCCGCGGCTTTATCCAATCGCACATTTAATTTCACCCAAAAAAAAAAAATATGATTCTAGTTTCGGAAGACTTACAAATCAATCACCTCCACCTTAACAATTATTGACCTTGAAAAGATACCAAAAAATAGTCTATTTGAGAAACGGCCGAGGGTCGTAGTGAAAGCAACCCCAAATTCGAGTCATCATATTGTGGTTTCTATTTCTACTGACATCACGTTATTAATACCTTCAAAAAACTAACTACTAA